CCAAGGATGGCTATGTCATTTCAGATCAAAAGTCCATTAGGCAACTATCCTGCTTCCAAAAACAGCCACAAGTCAGAGCCAAGAGAAGAGAGTATGAGCAAAGATATCAAATACAGTATTTCCCCAGAGTAACTCCCCAGCCTTCAACTATATTCTACTCACGAATTCCTGAGACTGACATGATTTATCTGTTTAGCTTGCCCAACGGGTATTCTCTTTCAAGGACTTAGCCCATTACACCTTAAACTCACATATACTGTTTGCATCCACAACAACCCAAAACAAGGCTACCTTGGGTAAGGAACTAAGAACTGTATCGCACTGATGCTATGTTTTGTGTATATTCAGTGGACAGTGGATATGGCTACCCACATTTGCTTATTAAAACCCAGCCAAAATAAAAAAGCAAGATTGACGCACCCCTTGAAAGAAACTTTGAGTTTGCAGATATCCCAGCAAGTGGAGTCCAGTGGGAACCAGCATTCCAAGCACACTAAAACGCTGCAATAGCAGGAATTATAACAAGGTTGAATACAGCTGGAAAAGCAGGCAGATGTCATGAGTGAAAAAACAGACACCCTAACAAAAGCAGCAAAAAACCTCTGTGAGCCTCCGAGAACCCAACAACTGAATTTTGATCCAAGGAGGTTAAATATATGGCTGCTTGAAAATTTTCCACTGCTTCTATTTTTGATGGGAAACGAGGCTTTCAGCTAAACACTTTTTGGTCGGATTTTTTTTTTTTTTTTTGCATGTCTACGTATGTGCTTCTGCAAATATACTTTTCTTACCAAAAAGCCAAACTTACAAACCAAAATATTTTGATTGAAAACAAAAAATGTTATTAAGAAATTCTAGCATAGCATCTCATTAAATCTTGGCTTACCTGCTTTACGTGGCAGATCTCCTCTAGCAACTAGACTTACCATTTAAATAACAACTCCACTAATAGGTCACTTCAAGGGACTCTCTACTTCCAGCACGTCCTCCAAAGCAGAAAGATCACGGCACAGTGTTGCAGGTGGTAGGCAACCACAGCCTCAGCCTTGCAGGATAGGACCAGCAGGCATCCAGATGATGTCAGGAAGAACACAGTAACATTTCAAATCAAGAAGCTTTAGTTTTCAGACAAAGCATGTAGTTTTTCCTGGAAAATTAAGACAAAAATGAAAAAAGCTTGGCATTTTTTACTAAAAATTCATTCAGGAAATTTCACAGGTCAAGCAAGGTCTTATTCATTAACCCGCAGATTCAAACCCGGCACCTGGATCCATCCACACACAACTCAGAAAAAATTTAAACAGCAGTAAAATGCTTCAAATTTTCCATAGCGATCCTGTTAGCAGGACTGTTCAAAAGCCAAGAAGCTAAAACCAAACAAAAACAATAAGGACTTGTTTGATGGCATAACTTTGTGTATGAGCCCTACGTTACAAAAGACCAACCAGCCTAACATACAAAATCAAAGGACAAAGACAAGCATCAAGCAATGGCTACACTCACTAGGTAAGAAATCTGTAATAAAAAAAATTCTGTATAGCAAAATTGGCAAAGTAGCAAGAAAATGAGATACTGCGTTTATTAATCCCTTTCAGGGCTCTCTATTTCAGTGAATTAACTAGAAGGAATAAATTTGATAAGGCTAGTGCAATAAACAGTGGAGACTAACAGCTATCCCACTATGACTGTTATCACCCCTTTTCTTGGAACCCCACAATCCACTGAAGAATTGAAAGCCTCTCATCCAGAAACAGACCCTGACCAGACCAAGACAGAGAAGCACCCGATTAATACTACCAGGGACAACGTTAGAACCAAATTTCTAATATCCATCTCCTCCCCTGTGTCTGTTTCCTGCCACACAGAATCACAGAATGGTAGGGGTTGGAAGGGCCCTCTGGAGATCATCTCCCCCACCCCCCCTGCCAAAGCAGGGTCACCACAGCAGGCTGCACAGGACCTTGTCCAGGCGGGTCTTGAATATCTCCAGAGAAGGAGAATCCACAAACCTCCCTGGGCAGCCTGTTCCAGGGCTCCGTCACCCTCAGAGGGAAGAAGTTCTTCCTCATGTTCAGACGAAACTTCCTGTGCTTCAGTTTGTGCCCACTGCCCCTTGTTCTGTCACTGGGCACCACTGAAAAGAGTTTGGCCCCATCCTCCTCACACCCACCCTCAGATATTTGTAAGCATTTATAAGGTCCCCTCGCAGCCTTCTCTTCTTCAGGCTGAACAAGCCCAGCTCCCTCATCCTCTCCTCATAGGAGAGATGCTCCATTCCCCTCATCATCCTCATAGCCCTCTGCTGGACTCTCTCCAGTAGCTTCTCATCTTTCTTGAACTGGGGAGCCCAGAACTGGACACAGTACTCCAGATGGGGCCTCACTAGGGCAGAGCATAGGGGAAGGAGACCCTCCCTCGACCTGCTGGCCACACTACTCCTAATGCACCTCAGAGCTGCATACGTACTCATACAATTGAGTCACCCCCACCCCGAGGGCAAAATAAATGTATACATAAAATAACAAATAAAATAAAAATGTGTACATAAAATAGTAAGTACAAATAAAAAATGTAATACATAAAAGAAATAAAAGACAAGAAATCAACCAAGACCTGCATCATTTGTAACACTGTTGTGAGCCCACAAAAGACAATGCAAAAAAAATCTTACACCAGTGGGGTACTACATTCTTTTCCCCCATCACACAGACAGAGGACTAACTACTGCCATCATTAGCACCAACTAAGAACCAGCAAAATTCAAAGGAACAGGCAAAGCAATATCCTTATTAAAAACTCAGTGGGTAAAATGGAAGGAAGGACATTTTGCTATTACAGTGAAATTTCTCTCAACAATTTGATTTTCAATCACACCATTCTTTTATTAAAACAAAAAATAGAGAAAGGTTTTTAACAGTGAGTTTCTGCTGAGACTAGGCACCTGAGAGCTCCCTGTAAGCAGTTCCAAACACTGCCTAATGCTGATTCCCTGCACAGAGTTAACATCTTTGACTGTCTAACGTTATAAAGTGCTAACACAATTTGTCATTCTCAAGGCCAATTTATTCATCAAAATTAGCACAAGCCCAAGCCTGCTGTCCTTATTCATATTTGGAATCACCAGCCACTTCTGTGTCGTCCCAGCAAAATTAGCACAGTGAAGGATTAGTCAGGATCTAACCCCAGAGATAAAAAATTCGGTTAGCACAAGTGAAATACAAAGAATAAATATTCAAAATGAGTGATGAAAGATATGCTTGTTATTTCCATTTTAACTCCAGGGCAATGAGTAACTTCAGTAAGAATTTCTCCATGTGATTTTTATCACTCAATATTTTAAAAATTACTACTATGCATCCTCCATCAAAAGTTGGGATTGGAAACAATGAAACTTTAAAAATGTCCACTTCAAACGTGTATGCAAAACATTATTCCCTTAAATTATGTTATTACTGACTTACGAGGTGCAAAAAATAGTGTCAGAATTTATGAACAACTTTGTATTGTTCAAGGATTTAACGACACACATTCCTCTTCAAATCAGTTACACAAAGTTTCGCTTTCTCATATCTGGCTTTTATCCTTATCCATGCCTTTCAACGCAAAGTGTCATTTTTTCTTCAGTTCACTTCCCACTCATAAGTGCATCACCTCATTTAATTTATAGCATGTGAGAAGCCAAACATGTAAGCTAACGTCTCCACATAGTTTATGCAAAAGTTACTAAGTCAAAGCGGACTACGCTGCCTAATCTTGTCTCCGACAGCCCAGATTAGCCTACTGCAGACAGGGGACCCTTAGCTCAAAGTCTTTCGTATCTCCTTCTCTCGTGTCTACTCCCAACAGGCTGGATCAGCTAGGAGAGCGCTATATTTCTTGCCAGGAGTGCCAGGGCTCCTTGCACTGTGGCAACCGAGCCACTCCAACTCTGATTTACAGTATAAGAGAGAGGATCCTGCACTCCCCAGCTTCTCTGTTGTGGTTCTTCCTTCTACCCTCTCAGTATCAATACTCAGAGTCAGTAAGAGTTACTTGTGCTATTACCCCATCCATAATCAACTAACCCAAATACAGATGCCATAAATTTAAGTAGGTCAAGTTAATAGATAGAGTCGCCTTAATTCCTCCAGCAGATCCGACAGGAAAGAACAGATACATGCATACCACACCATCTTCAAGCCAGCTTATAATTTTTATTTGGCAGCTGCCCACTTCCGATGACTATGGTTCAGTCAAGTAAGTCAGGTGGCAACGCAGTAGCAGCAGGTAACTACCAGAAGCTTTGCAGGGCTTTATACCCCCAGGCTTCCAAGACCAAATGGACTTCCCAACCCATGCTGGGAGTAATGATGCTACATGTGCCATTTGAGTATATATGAGCATTAACGACAATTTGATGAAACACGGAGAGAGACTCACAAATATGACCGCAGAAGTCACTGGCATGCTAGATTTCTGGACAGGCTTTGACTTTTAGGAGACAGTGGTGCATGTGTATACTCTTATATTATCGCCAGAGACTAAACCTCTCCTTGCCAGCCTGAATCCACATAAGCTTCCCAAGATTCATGGGTGCATTTATGTACTAATGTTCTAGCAGTTGTCAGAAAGTAAATTAATGGTTACCCGGGCAATCAGAGGAAGATAACGCTACTCACTAGGTCCATACATACTTAATATGGTTTGCAATTTAACTGCATGATATTTGTATTATTCTCCAAATACAGTGACAATGAATCAACGGACTGTTTAACTCAAGACAATTTACCTTCAAAAGTCACATGATTTCTCATGTGTGAAACATCACACCACAAGGTATTACAATTTGTAGTGCAGGAAGGTATAAAGCTTGCTAAATAATGGGCAAAATTAAAAAATAATATTAACGAAAATGAAAAAAGATTGCCCTCAAGAACATTTATTTTCTTTCATAATCCTTATAATACACATTTTCTTGCATTCCCTCTTTCTGCATTGTTTCACCAATGAGAAATGAAGCAATGTACGATTACACTGAGTTGGCCAATACATTGCAGCCCAATCATCAACTGCGTAGTGTGGGAGAACAAAGGTAAGCCCTTCGATATGTGTTCATCTTAACGTTGCCCTCATGCTGAACTGCTGTCCCCACTGACTCTATATGCTGATTCTGCTGCTCGTGCTGCTTCTCCAGCGAAGCCCACACATCCAAAGCAGCTTCAGGAAGAAGCCTCATCATGGTCTGCTCCTACGTTCAGCAGAAAATCCTCCAGCCACATTCATGTCCACAGCCTGCAGCTTCACTGTTGGAGCAATCCTCAGAACGTGGCACTGATCAGTCACTTTGTCATCCTCCTTTATGGTAAGGGGACAGCAAAGTACTCTTCCAGCAGTTTCTCCTCCTCCTCTGCCGCCTGCTCACTGCAGTCCAGCAGTAGCTACTGCAGCAGGTTGTGTTCAGCGTAATTTCTTCTTGCCTCAAGGCGCTCTCACGTCCCACTGACCAACAGTAGCATCACGGTACTGTGCCCATCCATGATCAGCTTTGACATCCCTGAAAAGATGTAAGCAGAACACTGTTCTTCTTGTCTACAAAAAGTTCTCATGATTCACAGTAAAATGCAGGCTGCCTCAGAAGATGTGTCAACCCCGTTCAACTTTTTTGTGAAAGGAAAAATATCTATCAAAATATAAGATATATACGCACACTGTACTCTCCCATCCCTATTTCTTTGCAGGTTTCACAGTGCTGAATTTTTACTCGTAACTTCTGCTTTGCAGACTTGCAGAAGTAGAGATCAACGTGTTCCTTCCCACCCTTGGCCTGCCCATCATGTCGCTCAGTTCTGGACTGCAGCTGGCATGTGAGAGAAAACGATGGGACTGGAAAGAACAGTTTCTCTTACTTTTCATGGGTACTTTTTAGGGAAAAGCTGAACACGGTAAGATGTCTATGAACACACCTGTAAAAATACTCTTTCTTCCTGTTCCCATTTACCCTGTCCTCAGAAAGTTCCACAGTTTCTAGTTTCATGGTGTTGTTCACTGTATCGGCCATGCAAAATCCCCTATGTCTTGTGGCTAACCAGCACTTGCATAGACAGTCGCTGGATAAAGCTCTGTGTCCTGCGATAGGAAGGAGATCAGCCTAGACAGCCCCTTCTGGGTTTAACCCATGAAATTACTGCGTTCAGTCAAGGCTTCATTCTAACAAGATTATTTGAACAACTTCCATGGACCGAGTTCTTCTTTTCAAACATTTTTATAAAAGCACTACTCATTGACCTATCCAATGCAGACAATGCCACAATAAAATTTACTGGAGAACATTAGGTGGGAATTAAAAAGCAATTTCTGACTCTTCTAAGCTAAATATCTGTATCTTTAAATAAACAAAATACCATTTTAAATCATAGATTTTATGTGGTGTTTTTCTTTCAAGTGAAAAAAAAAAATCAAGAGCCAATTTACTAACCTCAAACTAAAATGCCCTGTAGTTACCATTACCTGTTTTGGTGTGATCTATATAATCCCAAATGCAAAGCCTTAGATGCACACAAAAATTAAGCTTATGTTAGAGAGGCCAGTGACAAACCTGAATGTTTGGATAAGAGAGGCATGAATATCTGTGGCAACAAAGACCTGTAGAAGTGTTATCTACTTGTCAGACCTACAGGTCTGCAAAAGGTTGTAGCAGCTGTGACATCCTTGCCGCATTTATATTCCTGCATGACTTGAGGATTGGCTGTCTGTTTTGAAATCCCTGCGAAAGGTGCTCTAAAGCAATCTGTATTGCTATAGCAAAGCTCAGCTTTTCAGAAAGAGCAGCTGCTGTATTTTCTGGAATAAACACACAAACCATTTTAAGGACTTGACCCTTGATTCCTTCATCTCGGTAGTTCCACTGACTTCAGGGATGTCTCAGTGTATAAGAAACACACAGTGGGCTGCGATTCCACAGTCCTGAGCTACCCAGGCTGCTTTTCAGTCACATCAAGCAAAGCAGCCTCCCCACAGCTGTGCGGTTCTATACACCTGAAAGACAATTTCAAAAATTATCATGGTCTTACTAGGGAGCTTGCACGCACAGTCATTACTAAATTGCCATAAAGTCCCAGATTATCAATTTTGTCATCACTGAACTGCTTCAAGACACTCTATTGCTGTGCTGGGTTTCTTTTCATGCTGTAAGAAAACAAGAGCATACGAACGACAGTAAAAATGAAGCCAAGTGTACTGTTGAGAAACTTGGTATTCTCTCATTTCTAGGGGAGTTACAGTCTAATTCTGAACTGCAGCATTCAGCACGTCTCCTGAGTTTCCTTGCTGAAATATTGCAACGGAAATTTTACAGCATCTGTGTTGCTTTTGGAAGCCATCACCTCACATCTGCTGTCTCTGTAGTGTAGAGCTGAAGTTCAGCGTAAAAAGGTACTTTGTAACAGGCAACAGGAACCCTGACAGAGCCGTAATTTACAGACTCGCCCAGACTCACTCGTTTTTACATTCTGGACAGATTTTTCAGTAAGGCACCCTCCAA